ATCACTTGAGGTCAGGAGTTTGAGACCAGCCTGGCCAACATGGTGAAACCCTGTCTTTTCTAAAAATACAAGAAAAATTAGCCGGGCATGGTGGTGGATGCCTGTAATCCCAGCTACTCAGGAGGCTGAGGCAGGAGAATCGCTTGAACCAGGAAGTGGAAGGTTGCAGTGAGCTGAGATCATGCCACTCCACTCCAGCCTGGCTAGCAGAGTGAGATTCTGTCTCACAAAAAAATAAAAATAAAAATAAAAATGGCCAGGCGTGGTGGCTCACGCCTGTAATCCCAGCACTTTGGGAGGCTGAGGCGGGCAGATCATGAGGTCAGGAGATCGAGACCATCCTGGCAAACACAGTGAAATCCCGTCTCTACTAAAGATATAAAAAAAAAAAATTAGCCGGGCATGGTGGTGGATGCCTGTAATCCCAGCTTCTCGGGAGGCAGAGGCAGGAGAATGGCGTGAACCTGGGAGGCCGCAGAACTTGCAGTGAGCAGAGATTGCGCCAATGCACTCCAGCCTGGGCAACAGAGTGAAACTCTGTCTCAAAAAAAAAAAAAAAAAGAAAAAAAAAAGAAAAAGAAAAAAGAACAATAAATCATACTCCTGGAGTAGCTCGGAGGAAATTTAGAGCAAATATGTTAATAATTGTTTTTACCCGTAAGAGGGATCATAATAGCACACCATAAACATTGGATATTCTTGGCCGGGCATGGTGGCTCACACCTGCAATTCCAGTACTTTGGGAAGCTGAGGAGGGCAGATCACTTGAGGCCAGGAGTTCGAGACCAGCCTGGCCAATATGGCAAAACCCCGTTTCCACTAAAGATACAAAAATTAGCCAGGCCTGATGTTGCATGCCTGTAATCCCAGCTACTTGGGAGGTGGAGGTAAGAGAATCACTTGAACCTGGGAGGTAAAGGTTGCAGTGAGCCAAGATCATGCCACTGCATTTCAGCCTGGGTGACAGAGCCAGACTCCATCTCCAAAACAAAACCAAACAAAAACAGTACCATATTCTGAAAACAGATACTTGGCTTCTAGGAGGTGTAGGGTGAACAGGAATGAGAGGCAGGATGCTGAGATAATTCCATCCCCGTTTGCCATCCCTAGGTAGACTCTACCTCACTATGTCCTGTGGAACTGAGGGCAGAACAGCCATGCACACTGTGGGTCTTTTAGCCACGTGTTTTGATAGCACATTCAGGGCAGTGGGGGTGGGACTGTGGAAGGCCAGGTAGGTGGCTCCTCTGGGAAGATTGCACAGAGCATGCACATGCAGGACCCATGCACAAGGACAGGAAGAAGGCGGTGGCCACCCTCGGGGCACGCACACATCTTTGAGAGCCAGGCAGCAGGCAAGAATCACTGGCATTCCAGCTCGGGGAGCAAGCAGTACCCAAGGTGATCGTGGCGTAAATGACTCCTTCGGGCATCTGCACCCATCTGGGGACTCCACTGGGGAGAAATCCACCAGAGTGACCTGCACAACATCCAGGAGCACAGACAGAGGAAAGAGAAGAGAGACAGGATGAAGAGAGGAGTACATCCAAGTGCAGAGACACAAAGAGAGACCCAGATGTGGCAACCCAGCTGCCAGTCCACCAGAGGTTAGTGCTTGCCCATCAGAGGTGTGGGCTGTTGGGTGAGGCCACTGCTGAGCCAAGGACAACATTTCCTGGATCCAGACCCCTTCGCATCCAGAGATGACCATGTGACTACTTGTCACCAAGGGACTGTGGGTGGAAGTGATGTGTGTCGCTTCTGGCTGGTGCTGTTAAGAAGCAGATAGGGGTTCGCTGCTCTCTCTCTGCAGAGGATTCTGTGGCCCTTGAGGGTGGCCGAGACAAACATGGACGGAGCCTGGGCACCTAATCTACATGAGGATGAGTAATGCCCCCACGGAAATACCCCTGAGTGAGAAACAGGTTTGCATTGCGTTACTGTAGACAGAAGCTGCTGGGTTGTTATAGCCACTAGCATTACCCCAGGGTAAGACACCATCAGCGAAGCACCCGGTATCTCTGGCAAGCAGGGCAGACCCCGATACCCCTAGCACAGGCCATCAGGGCACTCATTACACATGTGCTCAGAGAGAGGGACATGACCCGGGGAGCAGTGTGGGGACAGGGCTGATACAGCAGGTCAAGAATCCAAGAAACTGGCCTTTTGCAGGAAGTCAGCAAATCGCTATGGCCACCAACTATAGCAAGGGGCTGGGGCCCACACCCATTTCTCTGGCCACATGCTGCATGTCACACTGACCAGGCAGGACCTGAGGCCAGGCCAGCTTGTAAGGCAGGTGAAGGCCTCGCTCTGTGCTGACTGTGACTGCTTCTCCCCAAGTCATCCCCAGGCCTCTCGCTGGCTGGCAGGACAGGCAGAACTATGTTCCCTCCCACCTCGCAGCTGGATTTCCTCCATCTCGGAGCTTTCTTGACCCACTCCACACAGTGAGTTCGAGCTGTCCTTGGGATGACCCCTAGTCCCGGCTACGACAAGTATGAACTCACAGTTGAGAGACAAAACCAAGAAGCGCTGGCCTTTCTGACCACTTGTTTGTGTCGAGATGGAGCGTCTGCCCCACAAACCGGCCCCCTGGCACGTCTGGCAGGCAGGCCCCTGCTGGCCCGACCGCACCTGAGAGCAGGGAAGTGCTCACCGCAGTGAGTCACTGTTTCCACCTTCAACGCGCATCCAGACAGCAGCACCGCACCCTTGCCTTTGGTCTGAAATCACAGCCCGACTGGTGAGTTGGCACCACCTCACACGCTCAGTGGGTCAGTGCTAAGTGCCGACTGCCCACAAAGCCAGTGTCTTAGAATAGACTCAACCCAAACAGGCGATCACCTCCCACAGAGTTCCCAGCAGGAGGCGGCAGGTAAGTGTGAAGGAAGGGCAGGGGAATCCCATGCCTCTCCCAGTCACCGGTCCCATCTCATTCCTGGTCCTGTTCTTATTTTTATTCCAATAGTTTTTGGGGTTCAGGTGGATACGTTCTTTAATGATGATTTCTGAGACAGTGCACCTGTCATCCGAGCAGTGTACACTGTACCAAATATGTAGTCTTTCATCCCTCACCCCTGTTCCCAATCTTCCCCCGCTAGTCCCCAAAGTCCATTATATCACTCTTATGCCTTTGGGTCTTCATAGCTTAGCTCCCACTTATAAGTGAGAACATAGGATATTTGGTTTTCCATCCTGAGTTACTTCACTTAGAATAATGGCCTCTAGCTCCATCCAAGTTTCTGCAAAAAACATTATTTTATTCCTTTTTCTGGCTGAGTAGTCTTCTGTGGTGTGTATGTACCACATTTTTCTTTATCCCCTCATTGGTTGATGGGCACTTAGGCTGGTTCCATCTCATTCCTGGTCCTGTTCTTTATGGAACCAACAACACCTTCCTCAGCCTAGTTCATTCCCAGCCCCAGGGGCCCTGGCCTTTTATATCTGCTGATTGATTATGCTTTGAAAGCCCTTTCACTTACAAAGGAAGGAAAGAGAAGGAGGCCAGAAGGGGAGGACCACAGTCCAGCTGCCCCAGAGACGAGGGTCACAACCACCTCTTCCTGAACCTCGAAGCCTTCCTGTGTAATCAAATCCCCAAACCAAGAGCACTTTTGATCCAACTTCCTCAGGCTGCGAACCATCAGCCAAGGACAGAGGGTGTTAGCATGAGCCCTGCCTACAGAGCTGCTCACACAGTATCCAGGGAGATCTTTTCAATACCTAAGTGATATAAGTTTGACTGTGTCTCCACCCAAATTTCATCTTGAATTGTATCTCCCATAATTCCCATGTGTCGTGGGAGGGACCTGGTGGGAGGTAATTGAATCATGGGGGTGAGTCTTTCCCATGCTGTTCTCGTGATAGTGAATAAGTCTCACGAGATCTGATGGTTTTATAAAGGGGAGTTTCCCTGCACACGCTGTCTCTTGCTACTGCCATGTAAGACGTCTTTGCTCTTCATCTTCTGCCATGAGTGTGAGGCCTCTCCAACTATGTGGAATTGTGAGTCCATTAAACCTCTTTCCTTTATAAGTTACCTAGTCTTGGGTATGTCTTTCTTAGCAGCATGAGTACAGACTAATACACTAAGTTAGGCCAGTCCCTAAGTAACCCTCTGGAGGTTTGCAGTCTTTCCTCACTCAGAGAAAGGCCAAAGTCATTCCTGTGGCTGGCAGCCCCATCTGTGTCCCCATCTCCTGTCACTCTCCCCTGCTCCTGCCATGCTGGCCTCCCTGTTGTTCCTCAGACGCACCCAGAGCTCTCCTGCCTTGGGGCTTTTGCAGATACCATGTTCTCTGTCTGGAAAGTTCTTCCTGAATGTATCTGCCTGACTCACTCTCCACTTCATTCAGGAATCTGTTTAAGTCATGCTATCAGAGAAGCCTTCCCTATCTAAAGTAACTCCCCTGTCCTGCAGAAGCCCAGCTCCTGTTCTGTTTTCCATCCTCTCACTTATCACCACTGACACATGCGGTTTATTTGTTGTCTGTCTTCTTTCACCGAATGTCAGTGCTAGGGATGACTGGGCTCCTGTCCCTGACACAGTGGGAGCACCATAACTATGAGTCCAGTGAAAGAACGTGGAAACTGAGCTCAGACTCAGCCTGACCACCACTTCTATTGCTGACCAGGGCCTTGGGCCTGTTGGCCAAAACTCCTCTCTTCCATCACCTTTGTGCTGAAATCTCACAACTTGCAGGCAGGAACCACAGAAAACATCAGACACAGTCAACCTATTTGTTATGTGCCATCCCTCGTTCCTCCTTGCAGGACAGCTAGGTCTGCTGTGGGTCTTGACTCCCCATTCAGACTAAAGGCTGAATGCTCTGTGGCCAGTTCTCAATTTGGACCATACTTTCCTGTCACAGCAGCCCAGGCTACCCTCTGTCACCCAGCCCAGGATGAGCATATCTGTTACCCCCAGGTAAGTCTGCACCAACATCTGAGAAGGAAGCAGTAAGTTGCCCTCCCAGGCCCCAGCCGCTGGGATGTACCATTCAGGGATGTGTCATATGGCTCAGCCTCTTCATAGTAGCCCTCTGGAGACTCCGTCTTTGGGATGGCAAGCTGTTTCCGTTCTGGAATCTGTGGTATGAACAAATAAGACAAACATTTGCAGATACAGTACACTGGGAGCAACTGGACATAACTCTTTGGGTGGAAATCTAGAAGACAAAAATGCCCAGCTGGATGTTAAACTTTAAGCAAGTTGGGAGGGAGAACACGCAATATCATGAATCCCATCAGTCAGAGTCCATAGTGTTTGATCTGTAGCCATGGAAGGGATGTGGGCACGTTTTCTAACCTTGCCAAGACTCAGCTTTCTCCCCTGCAAAATGAGGCTCAAACTCACTACCACACACACAAAATATCATTATGTACATGATATATCACACACTTAACGGTCCAGAGAGTGCCAGGCTGTTGGGATAGCTATTGTGGCTTTTAAATAGAATATAGAATATATTTTCTAAAAAGACAAGTGCTAATCAATAGCACATGGAGAAAGAGGACCAGGTTTCTAAATCCTACACTTTTACCATAGTATATAGTTCAATCACTCATTCAGCAAATAGTGGATGACTTCCACGTGCTAGCTGAGAGGGACACATTGAAACTTCACGAGTCAGTCCTAAAATAAGCTTGAGTAGCTGGTAAATCTTTAACAGCTCCTGGTCAAGTGCATTGTGATACAGTAGTACTATAATGAACAAGGTCAAAGTTCTGTGGGAACCAGAAGAGGGTGTGAGGAACCTTTAGGACAAAGGAAGGATGCCCAGGGGATGTGATCTTTGGACTGAGTCTCAAAGATGACCCTGAGCTGCTTGTGTGGGATAAGGATGAACGTGTGCAATTCGAGTAAAAAACACCTGCAACTGTGTTAGAAGCATAGAACATGAAATCATTCTGTTCCTCCCTTATTCCACCTGCACAGTAGGCACTAGACTATGAAACTATGCTTCCATAAGCTACCTTTATACAGCAACCATGGGGGAGAAAAAGAGGTAACTTGTTGCATTACTATTATGAGAGACAGGTCATGAATGTGTAAGCACCCTTGAACGCGGGTCTCTTTTGTTGTGTTTTTCAGATAGAGTCTTACTCTGTCACCCAGGCTGGAGTGCAGTGGTACGATCTCGGTTCACTGCAACTTCTGCCTCCCAGGTTCAAGTGATTCTCCTGCCTCAGTCTCCTGAGTAGCTGGGACTACAGGGGAGCGCCACCATGCCCGGCTAACTTTTATATTTTTAGCAGAGATGGGGTTTCATCATGTTGACCAGGCTGGTCTCAAACCCCTGACCTTAAGTGACTGCCCGCCTTGGCTTCCCAAATTGTTGGGATCACGGGCGCCAGCCACCACACCCGGCCCCCAGAGTCTTTCTGAATCATGAAACTCCATGGGCTGCAAGAGTATGCCTTCCAGCTTCCCCAGGGCGAGGATACAAGGGTCCCCAGAGCCCAGTCCTGTGTGCCTTGGACTCTACAATCTGTTTATATAGACCCTGGAGTTCATGTAACTTGATTTCAATCCAGGCTTTAGGACCTCATAGATTTAACCTTGGGTATGTGACAGGCTCTCTGAGCCTTGCTTTCCTTCTTTATAATACTAGGGTTGTTTTGAAAATTCAATGAGACAAAACGTGACTGTTTCCACAGGGCCTGGCCCATGTTAAATACAAGGAGGCCATTGTTATCACTGTCTGGGGCCCCTCCACAGTCCCAGGGTCTGCAGGTTGGGCAGAGAGGGCAGTTAATGTGACAGGAGTCGAACTACTAGACTGTTGTCCTGCAAGCTGAGACGAAGAGGATTGACCCTGACAGGGCATCACAGAGGGTTGGCTGAGACCAGGCCACAGCCTGGGTCCAGCAGCAGATCTGGTCCTGTACCAACAGAGCTGACACGAGGCACAGGGCAGACTCAGAACAGCCTTCAGCCCTCCTCTGGCACATGGCACCCCCTACAAAGGAAGGAATCAAAGAATTTGGTCATTTCGTAAGCAAACCTGACACTGTACTGGGCCGACAGATGCACTGCTGAAGGGAGTCAGGTCGCACACCTCTGCCCTAGCAGACAATGGGCGCACCACTGGTAACTGCTAGCACATGGTCCTCCCTCTTTGCAGTCCCAGCCTGGTGCGGTATCTTTGCTGTCTCAGTCTTTCCTGGTCCCCCTGGCCAGCCAGCAGCCTGAGAAAAGGCTGAGACAGTGACAGACTGCCCGTGATCCACTAACAACAGGCTCCCTAGGGTCCACAGGGAAAGGGTCCTCTCGCCGCCACAGCAGTAAGGTCTCCCCCGTGGGTCCTAGGCCTCATAGTCTGATCTGGCTGGGCCTCCAGCTCCAGCCTCCAAGAAGCTCCATTCCCATCAGGCGGGTCCCATCTGGAGAAAAGCTCTGGGCACCGAAGATCTGGCCCCCCCAGGTCAGGATTCCCGAGAGTCGAACAGGACAAAGGGAGGAGTGAACTCTTCTGCAGCAGCTCCCCAGGGGTCATCACCACAGGGCCTGTCCCTGGGGGCCTCCTGTCCTGTCCAGGGTGGAGCCAGGCAGTGTTTTCTGAGTGTCTCCTAAGCTTCTGTTGAGAAGAAAAATAGCTCAGAGGAGTTTGAGCTACTCAGGTGTGCAAAATGTATCAAGCCCAGAGACAGGAGTATGGGGCTTCGGGCACCATTTTCTCCCCTCCCCATTCCCATTCCTGGGGTCAACTGTTTAAAGGCATTTTATTCCTCACTAGCTGCCTCATCCATTATCTTCAGGTTCCTGGAATGTATGCTACAAAGAACAATGTTTAGCTGATGGATAGCTTACGGTATTTTAATGTAAAATATTGGTAAACAACTTAAAAACTGTCTCTTCTTTTTCCTTTGAAAACCCACTTGTAACTGCTGCCAATAGGAACATGGATTCAGGGTAACTTGAATCTGTGCTCCTGGACTGCAGCCCTCAAATTTGGTCAGAATAAACTCTCTACTTATATTTATTTTGCCTCCATTTTTTGCCTGTAGGTTGACATTGCAAACTCTGAAAATGGCTCACTATGCAGAGACAGTGCAGGGCAGGAATGGAGTACGATCCCCAGAACTAGGCTTGAATCCTGACACTAGGACATCCTCGCTGTGTGACTCCGACCAACTCACTTGACCTCTCTGGACCCGGCATAAGATGGGGAGAGTAGAAATATCTGTCACATGGGGTTGCTGTAAGGATCGAAGTGTGCCTATCACTATTCAATATTCAGTACACATTAGTTTTTACTAACCTAAAAAATAAAATGTAAAAATAAGAAAGGGAGAAAGGTGTTATATATGTGTTTGGTGGAAGATAAACCAATGCACTCCGGGGGTGGGTGCAGAGGAGACCACAGGATGGAGTCCCAGCTCTCAAGGATGCTGGGTTAAATGATGAGTCATGTGATTAAACAGACACAATGACCCATTATCAGAGCTTCAAGGACACAGATCATCTCACAGGGTTAAGGAGAAAGGACTATTATTTTAATTATTATCATTATGATGGTGAAGACTGTGAATTCTATATATATATATTTTGAGGCAGAGTCTCGCTGTGTTGCCCAGGCTGGAGTACAGTGGCGTGATCTCAGCTCACCGCAACTTTCAGCTCCTGGGTTCAAGTGATTCTCCTGCCTCAGCCTCCTGAGTAGCTGGGATTACAGGCGCGTGCCACCATGCCTGGCTAACTTTTGTATTTTTTGTAGAGACGGGGTTTCACCATGTTGGCCAGGCTGGTCTCAAACTCCTGACCTCAGGTGATCTGCCCGCCTTGACCTCTCAAAGTGCTGGGATTACAGGAAGAATGTGAATGTTAAATGAAGATCCAGAAGAGATTTAACATCAAAACCTGAAAAACTTTGACTGTTTGGAGGAAGGGACCGTGTGAGCGAGTCAGGCGTGGCAGGATTGACCAGACCAGAGGTCCAAAGGGCCGCAAATCTTTTCAGGAAAGGGCCAAAAAGTAAATGTTTTAGGGATTTGTGGGCCACTCGGAACCTCTGTCTTATCTCAGCTATTCAACTCTACTGCTTGCTGTAGCTCAGAAGTCCACAGACTAATACAACTAAATAAGCTTGGCTGCATTCTAATAAAACACTATTGACTAAAGGATGTTGCAGATCAGATTTGGCCAGTGAGCTCCAGTTTGCCAACCCCTGGCTTAGACTAGACACAAGAGCTGATGAGGGATGGCTCAGAGGACCCAAGGCGTCCTCCCAGCTCTAACCACCCTGCCCCAGAGTACACTGCAGAAGGCTCCCAGGTGGGGGTGAGTGGACAGGCCAGGCCCAGCCTCCCAGGCTAGCCATGGCAACGTCCTTTTAGGGATTAAGTGGCTTCCCCCACAGAGCAGCTCATATAACAGCAGGCCAGCGCGTGGCCAGGCCTCAGAGGGATGATGGGGTGGAGATGGCCATGCTAGCCAGACCATCAACCATGGCCAACAAACATCTGTTTCTCCTGCAAGGACCACGGCACCTGGCTGTGTAGACAGCAGCCTGGAGAGGCCACAGCTCCGTGAGTCACTGTCCACACCCACGAGGTCACTCCAAACCCCTGGCTGCCCCTATCGCTGGACAGACCTGCTCTCTACTGAGTCTGTAGGGGTTGGAGTGAGGACATCTGGGCTCGTGGCCGACAAGCATCCCGAGCCTGCGACCGAGGCATGATCCTGGCCCAGCAGAGGCCCTGAGGACCCCAGGCGGACGTCCAGGTGCTGCAGAAGGGGCCAGTGAATCCAGGGCCAGGCAGCTGTGCAGGGCCCAGCCCTCAGGTGGAGCAGCCTCCCTGACACCTTGAAGTTCTGGGATCAGGGGAGGAAGGGACGGGTTTTCTGTCTGAGGAAGAGAGGCCACAGGGCACTCCAGGCTCAGGGCTCCAGCCTCAGCTGGACAGTGACTCAGGCAGCTGTGGCCTCTCCAGGCTGCTGTCTACACAGCCAGGTGCTGTGATCCTTGCAGCAGAAACAGATGTTTGTTGGCCACAGCTGATGGTCTGGCTAGCATGGCCATGGGGTTCCAGCAGCCACGGCCTCTCCCTGCTCTGGTTCTCCTCCTCCTTCAGAGCCACAGACACGGCTCTGCCCTGACGCCACTCCTCTGGGGGCCGTGGACTAAGAGTGATGGCTGCTTCAGCCTGATTCAACCTGAGGAGGCCTGAGGGAGTGAGGACGTGTGCTCGTGTGTGTGGGCAAGGACAGGGAGAGTGCCTGGTGGACACCACCTACATCCCCGCACCACATCTGGCACCCCCTGGGGTAGCTGGGTGCCTTGCACAAGACCAGGAGGGACCTAGCCAGGGGACTCGCGGTCCACGCCCGTCTCTGGTCCTTCACAGCAAAGTCCACAAAGTGGGAGGGAGCTGCCTTTTCCTGTCAACTCAGCTGGCTTTGCTAGGAGTCTCCCTGGGGCCTGGAAGCTGTCCACAGGCAGTTACCCCTTGGCTGAAAGGCCACCTTGGGATCGGGCCATTCCTGGGTACTGATATTTTCCCCAACTGCAGCACCAGTTGCAGTTGTCCTTTCAAACAGGACACAAGCCCTAATCACAGACGACAATCCAAGAAGTGTACTCTAGAGGGAACCACGTGCCCCTCTCCACACTCAGTGTCCGAGGCACAGGGCACTGGCCGAGGAGCAGAAGCCAGCACCAGAATCCCAGGGCCCACAGGGACTCACCATGGCCCAGTTAACTTACAGCTATAGCCAGTCCCCAGACCCTGGGCCCCTCAGTCCATGCTGTTCGTAAAACACAATTTCTTGAACACTCACACAGTACTCGGTGCTCGTGAAACTCTGCCCCTACCCACCAGCTGAGGACCCACCCGCAGCTGTCCCTGGTGGGGCAGACAATGGCACTTCCACTAGCAAAGCCCAAGGTACCTTGGTCAGAATCAGACGCTGGATTTAGGATAGAAAAGTTCCAGCCGTGGCTCAGAACAGCCACCTTTCCACTCCCACCAGCCAGCAAGCAATGCCTGGGCCACACCAGAAAACCTCTGGTTAAAGCCGTCAGCATACGGATGGGACAGCGGAGGCGCTGTGCTGTTCCCCCAAGTATCGGGACTGAAAGTGAGGGGAGCCTGGTGCTGGAAGGACACAGCTTGAGCCCTTGCTCTGCTACAGACAGGAGCAAATGTCAGGGTGGCCCAGGCTGGGGGAGGAATTGGGAACAACAACAACAAAAACCTGCATTTAAATCCTGGCCTAGTACCTCCCAACTGTGGGACCTTGGCCAGTGGTTTTTAACTCTGAGTCTGTTTCTTCATATGAAAAACAGTGACGAAAATACCTATTCCTTGCTGGGTGGTGGGCGGATGGTGTGTGTGCATGGGATGGGGTTGAGGCTCAGGGTATAACAGTGACTGGCACTGTCAGCATCACAGGGACACCAGGGACTCAGGTTCAGTCTTGACATCAAGCCTCACTCAGCCTGAGATGAGGGGTCCCCACCAGCTGTCACCCAGCTCAAGGGACAGCATGCAGTGGGACACTGTCCCCGGTTCTCCGGAACTGCCCACCCATCACACATGGTGGAGTCAGATCCTCAGCTGTGGCCCCTGCCCCCAGGAAGGCACGAATGAAGGGGCCGGTCCAGAGCCATTCTGGGGCTGGGATCCCCTCCACGGAAACATGTGCCCACAGATCAGGTGATGGTCACTTGGCGGGAGCTTAGCTTCCTGCTGGCGCTGACCCCAGACCCCCTGGCTACCCATAGAAACCCTTCTAAGCTGAGACCCCAGTCCTGCCCCAGGATCCCTCCCCAGCCATGCCCTACAGGGGAAAGAACGTGGGTTCAAATGCTGACTCTGTTACTTACAGGCTGTGTGACATTAGGTTTCCTCACCCTTAAAATATAAATACTACCACTTACCTCACTGAATACTAGCACAGTATGCCACACAGTGGTGAGGGGCTGCCAGCCTTAGCCCATTGAATAAGCCCATCTGATGAGACAGATGTGAGCACTTCCCCCATATAAACCAGGAAACAGAGGGTTAGAGACTTCAAATAACTTGCTCAAGGCCAAAGAGCTAGTGGCATGCAGAACTGGGATTTGAACCCACATCCATATGATTTTACAACTCCATCCATCCAAATTAATGGATATTTATGTATGGCCTACCTCTATCCATGTCTGCAGATACTGGACACAAAATAGTAAACGAGAGACAAGGTCCCTGTCCTCAGGAGCTGACATCAGGAAAGGAGACAGTAAACAAGACTGTTCCAGTAGCACAAGCCATGGAGCGGGTAACTGGGTGGTGGGTAGATAGCAACCTGGGTGCAGATGGGGGAGGGATGCCTTACTTAGCCAAGGCAGCAGAAGTCTCTTCT